TCACTTCCATGCTGGAAGACCTGGACCAGTTACTTGGCTTCTCTCCTGAGTCTCCTGTTCTTTCTAAGGATAGACAGTAATGGCCTCTGTGCCCTAGAACCATGATGGGGGATAAATGAGAAGGCACGTTAGGATGATTTCTCCCATGTAAATAGTAGTCTCATCCCTTTACTCCTTCTCAATAGATCTAGATATTCCACTTCTGTTAAAAGTTTGTGCACACTCTGTGAAAGTCATTCTCATCCTACGTCATAAGAAGTTGACAGTGTCTATTGGATTTTGGCTTCTTGAGGACAAGAATTGAATCTCGTTTGTATTCTATACATGGTGCTGAATATAGTACACCTTGTAGCACATTCTAAGCAGTTGATACATGCTGTTTGAATTTTCTCATAGATATAAATCAGTGATTTTTGTTTAAACAAAAATATCTCAAATCTTTCAATCACATGTAAATTTCTTATTTTTTTTCTTTTCTTTTCTTTTTTTTTTTCTTTTTTTTTTTTTATTTTAAGGTTTTTGCCATAAGGCATGTATGCTCACTGGACAGAGACAGAGAAATACAGTGAGAGGGAAAGTGAGAAATCTCCCTACAGTGGAGTGGCCAGGCCTCTATCCTTTCTCCTCCATTCTTCTGGGATTTGGGGCATGCATGCAAATGTGCTCACTGTGATTTTCAAGCTACCAGGTCCAGAACTTGAACCATGGTCAGCCATGTGGGAGTCCAGCACCTTAACCACTACACGACCTGCTGGTCCCAAGTTTTCTTTTTCTTTTTAAGCAACTAAAGCTTTTAGGAGATAGTACTTTTTACAAAATACAGTTAGAATATTAAACTTAGCCCCGCCAACAGGCCTATAATGCCAATTAATCCTTTTAATGAACCAATACAGAAGAAGGGAAAGGGAGTACCAGAGTGCAGAAGTGCCTAGGTAAGGACACCAAATCTTTCGGCATGGGGTGTATGCCAGTTTGTGATGCCATCACCCTTGCTTTTGTGGGAATAGCTGCTTCAGCAG